GACAATTAATCAGTGGAACAACTTGCCTCCAGAAGTTGTGAATGCCCCAACACTGGAAGTCTTTAAGAAAATGTTGGATAGCCATTTGTCTGAAATGGTATAGGGTTTCCTGCCTAGGTAGGGGGTTGAACTAGAAGACCTCCAAGGTCCCTTCCAACTCTGCTATTGTATTATTGTATTGTATTGCATAGAGATTCTACAGATTTTTGTTCTTCTTTTTTAACCCACTCTCTTCATCCTTAACTATTTTATTGTATAACACTTCAGAGTCTTTTCTTCTGGATGCCAGCCAGAGTATGTGTAATAAATCTTTTCTTCAAACAAGGAATTCACAAAGAATGATAAAGCATAACTAGAAATTTAGCATCACACTACAAATACTTTGGAAGATACTTTGAGGATGGGGGTGGGTATCTCTTAGCATGCCTGAATAATACTAAAACTGTCAAATGAAAATGAACAACTCAGACTATCTAAGTGAAATACATAAAGGAAAGGTTCACTGACATCAAAGGGTACATTCCAAAGAGATTTGTTCATTATCATACTTTAAAAAACACTGAAGATGAAATGAATGATGAAGGTAGGTTAATTGTAGAATATTCTAAATGGGAACTCTTCCCAAGCATAGATAACCTTTATGAAACATGCAGAGACCACAAAGAAAAAATAATCAGAAGTTTATATATATCTCACTTTTTCTATGGCTTCCTTTTCCGATTCTCAGAGTAAACAATAGAAAATTTGTATGCGATATTTTGAATTCTAATTAAAAAATAATTCTATTTTGAAGAAAACTGTTAAACAAAAGATCTGTAGTCTTTATAAGTTTAATCTTTATAACTTTATTTAAGTGTACCCATAGGAACACAGTTTAAAAATTAAAACGTGTGGTTTAAAGTTAAGCAGTATGTAATAATTCTGCCAGCCTAGCAGTTCAAAAGCATGTAAAAATGCAAGCAGAAAAATAGGGACCACCTTTGGTGGAAAGGTAACAGCATTCCATTTGCCTTCAGCATTTAGTCATGCTGGCCACATGACCATGGAGACGTCTTCAGACAACGCTGGCTCTTCAGCTTTGAAACGAAGATGAACACCACCCCCTAGAGTCGGGAACGACTAGCACATATGTGCAAGGGGAACCTTTACCTTTAATAGTTAAGATGGATCAAGTATTATCAGCACATCACTTATTCAAACAGAAGCATTACTAAATTTATTTATTTTTTAAGCAGATATGACTTAGGTAATATCACTTTAGAGTCCTTGGCACTCTATTATGCTTGGGTGTTGCTTGCAGACATTTTATTATTACTATGATTAGCTAACATTTTCTGTGCTAAGTGCTTCAGTGCTCTTCAGTTGCATTGAAGAGTTACCTAACCATGTAATGAACCATCTGCAAGAAAACACACAAGATCAGAGATTACACACATTTTCTTCTACTGAACATTATTGTACTGATAATATATATTAATATATGAATTATCAGTATTGCATTTTTCTAAGTTAATTAAGAGCTATCTGCCTTGATACTATAACATGATTGGATTGCTTTTCATCAGCATTTTGAAGGATAAAACAATGCAATATTTGAAAAATGTTACTTGCCATGCTATTATATCCCAAATTCTAGTATAAAATAAATAATTTTAGGTCAATAACGGTCTAAAATTTTGAATAGCAAGCCTGGACCAAATTCTCCAAAACCGAATAAGAAATAATAAAAAATGTTGAATATAAAGCTGTTCATATTTTAATAACCTATACAGGTAGTCCTCAACTTACAACAGTTAATTTAATGACCACTCAAAGTTACAACAGCATTGAAAAAAAGGACTTATGACTGTTTTTCACACTTGTGACCAATACAGCCATGGTTACATGATCAAAATTCAGATGCTTGGCAAGTAGTTCATATTTATGACAATTGCAGTGTCCTGGGGTCATGTGATCAACTTTTGCGACCTTTTGACAAGCAAAGTCAATGGGGAAGCGAGATTCACTTAAAGTTCATATTACTAACTTAGCAAATGCAATGATTTACTTAACAACCGTGGAAAGAAAAATCATAAAATGGGGCAAATTTATTTAACAAATGTTTCATTTAGCAATATAAATTTTGGGCTCAAATGTGATCATGACTCAAGGACTACCTGTATTTTAAAGTTTTAAAATACAAATTGTGTAGATACCATGTTTCTCCAAAAAGAAGGCCGGGTCTTATTTTCCTTTGACCCTCCCCCCCCCTGGCCCCAAAAATGGCTAGGCCTTCTTTTTGGAGGGTTCTAATTATTGACTCACCTTGCAGCGGTTGCAACAACAGCCCTGCCCAGCAGGAGCCCACTGCTGGCCAACTTCTTCTGCAGCCGCTTGCCGCCACTCGCACACATTGCCCCAGCCTCTGTTTCACCTTTAGATACCAGCTGGAATGCAACTGCAGCCAATAATAGAGCTCTGGATTGACCGGACCTCTGTTATCAGCTGCAGACGCCTTCTGGAAAACCCTTTGCAGAAATAATAGAGTTCTGGATCGATCCGGAGCTCTGTTATCGGCTGCGGATGCCTTCCGGCAGGTATCTAAACACAAAATAAAGGCCAGGGTAATGCAAGCCACAGAGGCAGGTGTCAGGGTGGGGGAGGCCTGGTAAGCAGGACAGCTCCACCACCCCCATCCCCACCCTAGCTTATTTTTTACCTATGTGCCTCACGTCACCTCCTGCACCCCAGGGTGGACAGGGTCTTAATTAGGGCTAATTTTGTGGGTGGGACTTAATTTAATCACATGCGCTCAAAAACATGATAGGGCTTCTTTTCAAGATGGGTCATCTTTTTGGAGAAACACGGTATTTATTTGCTATTTATAAGTTTGCACCCAATTCCCTCTCTTTGGTAGAAACCAATACACAATCAGGCAAAATATTGCTTTCATCTATATTTTTCCCTGTTGCAGGAACTTGTTTCCTATCATATGAAAGTTAGCTATATCAGATTTTATCTTCTACTCAGAAGAAGCATGATGAGAGGAAGATGTGAGCCAGAAAACCAGACAGTAGCATCTAATCTGTCCAGAAGACTGTTTTATATATCATATTTCCCTCTTCCCTCCATTATACTTATTGTTAATTTTCCCTCCCTTTTTTCTGGTATTATAAACCTAGAAAATATTTGTTTCTTTTTTTATGACTGAATGACAAATTGTAGTCTGACACTTAAAATAACTATTGGATTATTTAAATTTACTTGCCAAATAATGTTCATTACTGAATTAGGAAGTAGTAAATCAAGAAAAATATAGATGCCAAAAATGACTGTTTTTGTAAGTCACTTACAAAATCCGTAACTAGCAATACATTGCTACATAGCCTTAATTATTTCAAGGTATAAATATTTTTAATATCAGCCCCAAATAGTGTATAATGGAAAAATTCTTTGTTCCAAATATGTAATTTATAAGTCTCATCACTCAGCAGAAGTTGTTAGTGCTCAACAAACGACATTTCATGAAAAACGGATAGGGGTGGGGGGAAAGCCTGAAATAGTCAGAAAAGAGAAACTAATTTTCAGTGACAGTATAGTCTTTCATCTTAAGCCATGCCTTGAACTCTACCTTGTTTAATTATTAAAATCAGGAGCTGCTGTGCAAGATCTGTCTGCTTTTGATGGTTCTTAAATTCAATCCTGCTGACAGACTGTATCCATTTCTTGCCATATATATTGTTACATATAAGAAGCTTTGAGTACTAATTTTTTTCCAATACAATCTTCATTAACAAGAAATGTTTGAATACGCTTTAAGGACAACATCAAACTGTTTTTCTATAAATATGTAACACTGATAAAAATGTTTAAACAGACTTGATTTGAAATACACAAACATTTTCTTTATGAAATCCACATACACACTTTACCATATGCTGCATCAAAAGGAGAACACCGATACATAACGCCTCAAACCCAGCTGTCTGGGTGAAGAACAGAGATAGATTTCTGCATTCAAGTTAGTACACTATCTTCAATGTCATTTGAAAAAGGAACGAAAACACCTTGTATATGGATGAAGAATTATTTTGGAACTTTGGCAGTCCCCTTTTAAGAAGGCTGCCACGTGGAGTATGGGGAAAAATAGTATTTGTGGTATTAATGTAACACTTACAGTTGTTTTGGTCTCTGCCAAATATTCTGCTTCCATTTTACTTAAACGTGCATTTGTATCCTCCAGCAATTCTTGGATATTTTCTGTATGTTTTTTCTGAAGATTAAACTTTTCTTTTTCCATCTCAGCTACTGCATTATGGAGCTATAAAGACAAATACAGTTCACTAACACAGAAAAATTAAGGGACAATTCAGCCCTATTAAAGCTTTTGAGCTTTCTTTGATTTATATTACAACTTCTCATTCAGGAACTGAGAAAGGCATATATTATTCAATTTTTAAAAATATATATGTATAAACATATTCTGTGACATTTCCTAAATTTTAAGCTAATTGTATCACTTAATAGACATTTATCTAAATTAATAATTGCATCATAATAATAATGGTGGCATGGTGGTCTAGGGGTGAAGACGCTCGCCTCCCACTTGGAAAGTTGAGAGTTCAATCTTAGGTAGCAGCAGATAGTTCTCTCTCAGGGAACAAAGGGAACATATCTACTGCGAACTCTATGTAGACGTCTGGAAGGGCATCAAGCCAGTAAACGCTCAGCCCCATTAAGCCGCCCAACTGGCCCCTGAATTCAGGGATTACAAGCTCATAAAAAGAAAACAAAAATAAATGTAAGGCTTAAATGAAGGTCAATTATACATAATCAGTATTAAGAATGTCTTCCAAATTTGAACATCTTAAACAAATCCAGGCAATCAGTTCATTTGTGAACAAAAAGTTTGTCAATATTTAGCCACAAGGCTAAATTAAAAAATCAGGCTAATGCCTTATCAAAGATTACCCATATTGCTAACATTTATTTTGGGATTGATAGAATTTTATTAATCACATGACTCATCTAGACTATTGAAACAGCTTAGCTATTTAACACCAGAATCTTGCTGAAACTGTGGTTTCTTCCTAATGGGAATCAATAACAGAAGCAACCTATTTATTTCTTGCAAGAGAAGTGTTAGTCTATAGCGACAAAACGTCAGGAGGAATCTAGTAGCCTCTTTTCCAACAAATGTGATTAAAAGGCATCAGCTTTTGTGAGCTGAAGCTCATTTTTATCAGAAGCAGAGTGGCTATGTGCAGTGAATGTGTAACCTCCTATCACTCAAACAGCACATGGCAGACCCCCAACATGTCGACTGACAGGCAAGATTGTAAAGAGACTGCCAATCAGTAGTGGGTTTTGGATCCCGTTCCAACCAGTATGGTTGGAACGGGCCTGGCGTCATCCACATGGAGGTGTGCAGCGTGCACATGCATTTTACCGTCCAGTGATGCCTCCGCAACACTCCAGTTGCTCGGCAGAGCATTGCGCAACCGCTATATGCGCCGTGCACGTGCGCAGAAGCTCCGAAAACTTTAAAGGCAAGTAAGGAGGGAGGGCGGGCGGGCCCTCCGGAGCACCATACTGGAATGGTACCCGGTGCTCCGGGCAGGCTCCAGTACGCCCGTACCGGGGCGTATTGCCTGCAACCCACCACTGCTGCTAATGCACATATCCCAAATACCTCAACAAACAGATAGGCAAATCCATAATAACTTTAAATGTACATGTACACTGAATTTCAGTCCAGGAGGTGGGAATAATAACAACTTTTCCCTATAGAAAAGGACATTTTCCCTTCCTCTTTCTTTTCTTAAAAAATATTTTCTTGAGATAAATATTTTCTTGAGGCAGTCATGTTATTCTCCAAAGCACTTGAGGGTGGGACAAAAAGCAATGGTGGAAACTAATTAAGGAGAGTAGCAACCTAGAATTAAGGAGAAAATTCCTGACAGTGAACAATTAATCAGTGGAACAACTTGCCTCCAGAGGTTGTAAATGCTCCAACACAGGAATTTTTAAAGAAGAGATTGGATAACCATTTGTCTGAAATGGTATAGTGTTTCCTGCCTAAGCCGGAGGTTGGACTAGAAGACCTCCAAGGTCCCTTCTAACTCTCTTATTCTATTATAAATGAAAAGGCAGCAGCTGGGAACAGTTTACCTGGAAGGGAGGGGACTATGGACAAAATGCCTGGACAAGGAGAGAAGAGAAGAGAGAGAGGGAGGGAGGGAGGGAGGGAGGGAGGGAGGGAGAGATTGCTTAAAGATC